AGTACATGGCTATTATGACATATTAATATATATATATATATAAATATTAATGGAAAATAGATGGGAGATTGATAGGATATTGTGGAACATGCTTCGCATTTAGTTCGATGATTTGCCGCAACAAAAAATATCGTGATTTTCCAAAGCTATGTTAGATTACCATAGGGTAATGGGGCTATATAATTTTGATATGTATATATATATATATATATTATATGATATACCAACGATCCAGAAAAGATACTGTACAACATTTAGACACCTGAAAATGAGGGGGGAAAACATCATCTATACTATCGTGGAAATACATTTGGTATCATTTGGTTGGCTTGCCTTTTTCGTTTTTTTCTTTTTTTCGGCAGGTATGATATGCATTTTTGGTACTGCCACATTGATTGTTCATTTGAGGCTATTGGAGCTATGCCACATTTAAAGGTGATGCTTAAACAATATACATCTATTATCAGTATCGTTTCTGATGATCTTTGTTACTACTATCATAATTGTTGATATATATATATATATAATGTATTGAAGGGGAGAACATGATCTTTGAAGTTTGCAACCCTTCGTTTTTTTGGCTTGATTCATCTGGACCTGGCGCCTCGCAACTGTAGAAGCGCTGCCACAGTTCGAGTGACCCGTCACCATCGTTACCTGATAGCGTTTTGCCAAGAAATCCCCATGGAGGTTTCCCAAAATGGGGTACCCCCAAATCAGCCAAAATTAGACCATGACGTTCGTATGGAAACCCATGGTGACTTGGGGATCCACCATGACTTAAGAAACCTCCCAATGGCTTTTGGTGGGACATTTACAGGAAAGCCACTCCTTTTCACATCATGTGGGGTTTCCTGTATATTTTTTCATCATCCGTTTCTGGGAATTCCAATGATGTTGCTCATTGGGGGATCATCCATTATATAAAATTTCTTGCTGATCAATTGCTTCTGGCTGATGGACATCAAGGAAAACTTCAAGTAGTTTGGTAACAAATGGTTGGGCAATGATTTTAGTACCATATACATTGTCACCAAATTTCCCCCAATTTCCCCATTCAACTTGCCATAAATATACTATGTACTCTGGCAAAACCACAGGAGGCACATGAGAACTTTGACCTAAACTTGGCAAGTGGCCCATATTCTTTTTTTGGTTGGTGGTTGAGCCACCCCTCTGAAAAATATGAGTTCGTCACTTGGGATGATTATTCCCAATATATGGAACAATAAAAATCATGTTCCAAACCACTAACCAGTTCTTTTTTTGGGGCTACCCTGTAAACGTTTACACGGCTGAAGATCACCTTCCAAGCGGGCAACTCTCCAGCTGAAGTTCGAAGCGGCAACGAGGGCAAGCGCAGGAGAAGCCAAACCTAAAGAAATGGGATGTGGCTTATTGATGAAAACACCATGGAGATATAGATATAAACTGATATAAAATGATATAACATGATATAACATGATATAAAATGATGTAAAATGATATAAAACCAACAATCCCAGAATTATCCCAAACATTATATCGTAGTCGATATTGATATTGATGGAAATATTGATATTGATGGAAATATAATGGAGATACAGAACCAACAAATATATAACAATATGGAATATAATATAATCTACATATCAAAGATACGCACATCTATAGCTCTTCCTTTGCCCAGCGGAATCTTGTGCAGTCCATCATCATCATGGACCAAACATGGATTACTAACTAACTATCTTGTCTGACTATGTTGGTCCATGATTTATGTCAAAGCCAGCAAAATCACAGATATGTCAATTTTTGAAGTGGTCAGGTTGGTCCCTTTTTTTTTGGTACGCAATTTTGACCCATATCTAAGTCTTCTTTCTTGGCGCTTGCATAGCCACTAGTGGAGGAGCTGAATTTACTTTGGATCGTCTGCTATTGAGTGGACACACTGCGGTGGTCAGCCGCGCTTCTTGCTTGGGAATTCCAGAGATCTCTTGATGCGAACCAGATTCAGCAAGCCAACAAACCATTAATTAACCCACAATTCACATCGAGAAGTCCCCATGGCTCATGGGAAAACAATCTATGCATGAACACAAAGACAGTGGATAGCTCCCATCGGATACCACCAAATAGAAACCATCAATTCACACAGGTCTACCTAGCAACGGATGTACCACCCCCCCAAAGCAGTGGCAGCCATGGCACAGCTCTGAAAGCTCCTTCTGTCGCATTTCCACGGGCATTCGGATATCACCTTGGGACTGTGGCTGTGGAGCACCATGCCAAGTACACAGCCTTGGTACTGCCACATAAATGAGGCTGAAAATGGGGTATGCCTTTCCAGCATGTCATTTGGTACTTGGTATAAGGAAAATAAACAAATGATCAGGTGGATTTTTGGGTTCCCTATTTTCAGACACACCCATATGGAGGTTTCTTGAAAAAATGAGGTACCTCAAAAATACTGCAGTAAAATCTTCAAATTTTGGATGATTTGGGGGTATGCCCATTTAGGACACCTCCATATACCATCATATAACCCTAACAACATCCGGCCTCACCGGAGATGCTCAATCCATCGCTGAGTCACAGTAGAACTGTGTGAGTTCCTCCAATGGCTCAATGTCCCGGGCGGCCCTCAGGAACACCTTGGCGGGTGGTCTCTGGGTACCCTCTGCCAACAGTTCGCTGACGCAAAAACAACTGTAGGACTCGGGCCCAAAGATGGGGATCATGATAACAACATGAGAACATGATCCATAACCATGGGTGGTGCTAGAGTAGGAGCAAACCATTGGAATGTCCAGGAAACATTGTTTTTTGAATGCCAGTCCGGCTGCACCAGCATTCGTCTAGACTTGCCTAGGCACCCAGTCAGCCAGTAGGACCTTGCACATGTTGGGCGCACAGGAGTGATTGAAGAGCGACGCCAATGGAAACACCCCGTAGCTTGAGTGCCGTTCTTCCTGCAGACAGGCCCACGGGGTCACTGAGAGCCGTTGGGTAAATTGCTGTGATGTTTACTGAGGCGTCTAGCTCTTTATTGAGAATGTAGCCAACTACCCCAACAAACCACCAACGAACTGCAGTTTGAACATATCAGCCTGAGCCAATCTTTATGGTTCAATCGCAATTTTCAGCGCCAAACCCTCTTGGCCCAATCAACGAACGCAAAACCATCCGACAATCCAGCACAGCAATGGAAACTCCCAAAAAACCAAAGTTTTAAGACACATGTTCAATTTCTACACACTCCATTCAAAAAATCACACTGCGTGGCAATGCCGTTTCTTTTCATCCAAAATCACCAGCGGCCCTCCGTCCTCGCCCGTTCCGCTTCCGGTTCCGCCCTCGCTGAAGGCGTAGTCGCTGACCGGTGGCGCGCAGCGGTAGGCGTTGAGGTCCACCTTGCGGCGCATGGAAGGCCTGGCGTCGGTCAAGGGATGGGGCACCTACGGGCGGTTGAAACCATGAAAAATGGTGAAAAGTGGTGGGAAATTAACATGAAACATAGGGATTTCAAACGTATGGGAGCCAATCTAAATGTGAATGCGATGGGATCTTGGAGATTCGTGGTAAATCACCATGAAAAGCATGAAACATGATGGTTAAACCATGAAACATGTGGATTTGAAGCATCCAACATGGTGAAAAACGGTGTTTTTTTTCACCATCAAATATAGGGATTGAACCAACAAAATCATGGAATTAGTATCATCATTACTGGGAGATACTGGAAGTAATTTGGGAATATAGGGAATACAACGGGATACCATTGCTATAATGGAACGCTACTTAATAATATGGATTATGGCAATGGATCTTGGAGATGTCATCCATGCCATCTATAGGTCTAAACCTCAAGAATGGTAAAAGAACGTAGTGAATCACCATCAAAAAATAGGATTTAACCAATAAATAATGAAATTAATAGGAAGGTCTTCATGATGGATCGTTTTGAGGAGTATTCATGGGGATATCATGGATATAATGTATATGTATAGAGAAGGTGAATTAATGGCGATTCGTAATAGATCTAATGGGGGGGATATTTGGGGATTTAATGGGAATGTCAGGGGATATAATGATGGTGTCCCAGGTCGTTGGCTAAGTTGATTTTACAACATGTTAAAATGCTAAGCAGGGTTTGCGGTGCGCATGACTGCAGTTAGATGGGCAATAAACAGTTAGTGATAACTTAGAGGGCACCACCTTGGGGGATGTGATACAAATGTGAAGATTTATGGTGGTGTAGTGGGGATGGGGGGTCATGTAGCTTAAAGGGGGATTAATGAGGATTTTTCGGATATGTCCTTAAAACCATATGTATACAAGAATGCGGAGTTTTAGCAACGAACATGCGGATATAACCTAAAGTTGCAGGATGATGATACAATGAACCATAATAACGGACGTGGGTGAATGATAAAACACTGGTATTCACGGTATTCTCATACTGCGGATTGTTTGGATATGATACAAATGCAATCCCATGCCCCTATCAACTACCTGCATGTCATGCGAGACACCCTTGAATATATAAACCCATTCAATGCTACACCATGGTTTGAGCGATGTCTACCAAAACGGAAGCTACAATAACTTTATATTTAATTCATGTGTGCTTGTAAGTGTGCCAACATACGTGCATTATATGCTGCAAGTCAGTGAGCATGTAAGTCAATGATAGTTAATGTATATAGGATATATGCAGCTATATGCAAGTGTTCATTCAGATTTCGTCTTTGCAAATACACAGCATCCTGGAGAGGGGAGTCTTATACAACTTATACTAAAATGCTAGCTGTATCTGCCAAGTGATCATGGCCAACCTTGGGTACCCTGCCCTAGATATTCTGGAGATGTGGGGAATATCCTGGATCAATAGCTCAAACAAAGCACAATTTCACCTGTGATCGATGGAATCTGGGAAGGAATCTGCTCCAACTTCCTCGTGTGACGAGAAAAGTGAGCCAGGAAAGTGAGGATAGCCTCAAAGTTGCGGCAAAGTCTTGTTCGTGTCAACTTCAGCCGAGTCTTGAGGAACAAGCCTGGGCAACTCCGGCTTGTTTAAGTGAAGCCACAGATCCCTGCAGCTTAGGAATTCGACATCCTTGCCAAGCCGGCCCTTGTTGTGTTTGCGTCGATAATTCTCGGCCAGTTGCCAAGCTACGCCAAGCTAAATCGGCAACCGTAAAAGGAACAAGTGGAATATTATGGAATGTTGCACTATTACCATGACTACATCTGTGCAGTACAATATATATATATATGTATATATAGATATACATACACATTATAATATATATATATATACATAATGTATGTATACATTGAAAAATATCTACAATTATCCACACGACATATTCTTTCATTTGTGGCTAATGAAAGAAACCCGCAGACACCATCCAGGGCTCCAATCCCTCTGGTCAAGGCACAGAGAGATACTGGAACTGCTCCGTTCCCGTCCCATTTCACCTGCAGAGAATGCGCCCATGTGGTCCAAAGTCTTGCTGGTTACTAGGGGTTCCCAGAATGAGTGATCAAAGTATTGTCATTAATATTGTCATGTTGAAATCTTCGATATTATCCACAATACAAATCGCCAAGTACAGTATGAGTGTGGTAAAATCATGCAAAATCCCTCATAATCACTGACCTACAGGGCTTTTAAGGCCACTGCTTAAAGTGAAACGATGTGAAACAACCGCATTTTCCGAGAGTCACACCGTCACAAAAAAAAACGGCGGACGGAACTTGAAGTGACCTCCCGTGGCCTGAAATCCACTGGTTGGTGGTTGAGCCACCCCTCCGAAAAATGTTGGAGTTCGTCAGTTGGGATGATGACATTCCCAATATACTAGGGAACATATAGTCCAAATGTTCCAAACGACCAACCAGTTGTGGTTACCACCAAACCACCTCAATTTCATACACAAAAAATGACGATATCTCCCAATTTCATGGTGAACCCTTGATCCCCCCGAAATCTTCCCGGCACCTGGCCACGCGCGCAAGGCGACGGGTTTGGAGAAAACCGCCAAGTCACCTCCATCACACATCCTGAGCTACTTCTTGGCTTCAGAAAGTCTGGAAAAACTGCGGGGTTGTTTGATGCAAGCAGCCAACAAGTCGTTCTCTGAATCGAAATGAATCACATGAGCGCTCACATGTTCATCCTAGCGGTATAGACATTTGCGGGCACAGTTTGCAAAAAAACATGCGCATATAAAATGCAACTCTCACTTGGCACATGGCGAGTCCCTTCACTTGGAGATCCTTTCCAACGCCCCCCATCTACAAATGGAGACACAGGAGTTTTGGATAGTTTTGGTATCTGCTACTGAATTTCCTCCAACTCCACCAAAATCCTTGGCTCCAGGTAGTGGTCCTCCATTTACTGAGATGATGAACAACCATTGTGTAAATGCTAATAAAGTCCGTCGGACAAGTTTCAAATATATAGCAAATTTCACTCTGGTCGCCTAAGTTCAAGTAATTAAAGTGTTCTCACAACCCCTACTGCCCAAACCCTGAATGACGGCTACCCACGCCAAGCATCAAGTCCAGCCTCTTCCAAGCGAGGTCATCCTTGCAGTCCGACATGCACCCCTCCCGCACTGGAACCTTTGTAAACTGAAGGATGCAAGCCTTCCTATACAGGCTGGAACCTTTTTCAGGAGATTGAATCTCCCACATCAGAACCTTTGCAGGCCGGAGCCCTTGGCCATTTTCGGGAGGCAGGTCTTCCCAGAGGCTGGAACCTTTTTCAGGAGATTGAATCTCCCGCATCGGAACCTTTGCAGGCCGGAGCCCTTCGCCATTTTCGGGAGGCAAGCCTTCCCAGAGGCTGGAACCTTTTTCAGGAGATTGAATCTCCCGCATGGGAACGTTTGCAGGCCGGAGCCCTTCGCCATTTTCGGGAGGCAAGCCTTCCCAGAGGCTGGAACCTTTTTCAGGAGATTGAATCTCCCGCATGGGAACCTTTGCAGGCCGGAGCCCTTCGCCGTTTTCAGGAGGCAAGCCTATCAGAGGCTGGAACCTTTTTCAGGAGATTGAATCTCCCGCATCGGAACCTTTGCAGGCCGGAGCCCTTCGCCATTTTCGGGAGGCAAGCCTTCCCAGAGGCTGGAACCTTTTTCAGGAGATTGAATCTCCCGCATCGGAACCTTTGCAGGCCGGAGCCCTTCGCCATTTTCGGGAGGCAAGCCTTCCCAGAGGCTGGAACCTTTTTCAGGAGATTGAATCTCCCGCATCGGAACCTTTGCAGGCCGGAGCCCTTCGCCATTTTCGGGAGGCAAGCCTTCCCAGAGGCTGGAACCTTTTTCAGGAGATTGAATCTCCCGCATGGGAACCTTTGCAGGCCGGAGCCCTTCGCCATTTTCAGGAGGCAAGCCTTCCCAGAGGCTGGAACCTTTTTCAGGAGATTGAATCTCCCGCATCGGAACCTTTGCAGGCGGGAGCCCTTCGCCATTTTCGGGAGGCAAGCCTTCCCAGAGGCTGGAACCTTTTTCAGGAGATTGAATCTCCCGCATGGGAACCTTTGCAGGCCGGAGCCCTTCGCCATTTTCAGGAGGCAAGCGGATGGAACCTTTGCAGGCAGGCCGGAGCGTGAGCCATTTTCAGCAGTCCTTAGCCTTTGCGCAAAGTTGTACCTTGCATGGTGAGAGAACTGTGCGTGAGATGACGCACTGGGTCCAGCAAGGGTGTGAACTCTTGAAGGTAGCATTCGTTGACTTCAGATTTGTGTGGACAACTGCTTGTGACCACAAAGATTGGTCTGACTCAAAATTTGGATGCCAAATGGATTGCAAAGGGCTGATATTTCCTTTTTGGGCATTGAGACACACGGAAGCAAAATGAAGCAAAACATTGATTTTGGGCCAAGGTTTCACAGGAAATCCTTCCACAAGTCTAAAACAATTTAATCCATGGCCAGAGAATTAGCCAGAGCCATATCAGCTCGTTCGTTCTTCTCGCGGCCAGTGCTGCCTCAGGTGTGTTGAGGGTCTGGGTTTCAGCTTTTGTTGCCAGCCAAGGTGCACAAACAAAACTGAATCCCAAATCCGCCCCATCCAATCAAAATTGAATGTTGGGACACCGGTAAACTCACACACACACATATATATATATATTATAGCTATCGAAAACACCATTGTTTTTTAACATCTAATGTGACTTATTCTTCATTTTCACAGGCCATCTATAGCAAACTCTGTAGGTTAACTATAGAGGATACGGGATGATGAATCGCCCGCAAGTTGCTTGGATCATCTTGGATCCACATCTAGGCGCCAGCCGCAATGGGAATTTCAGGATCCAAAAATGGAGGCACGTTAGTACCATATAAGGCCATATTTTCTGGAGATATCCTCTTACATAGGCCTGAAAAATAGGCCGTATATATGGTAGGTACCTCCAATTTAGGATCCTGGAATGGCCATTGAATATACCCTCTGGTAAACGTTTACATAACTATGGAACATCACCATGCTATCAATGGGTAAATCCACTATTTCGACTGGGCCATTTAAGCAATAGCTATATATGTATGTTTACCAGGCCGGGTAACTCCGAGTTTGTTTCATATTTTGTGTGGTGGAGCTCCCCATGGCGGCCATACCCCCACCGTCCGGGTGTCCAGCTCCGTCTGCTGCTTCTGTAGCATCTCCGCTAAGTCTTTCTCCGGCGCAACCTGTGGAATGACTGGCTTTGGCTTCGGGATTTATGGCGATGTACCCTGCGGTAATTTAACATAGGAAATGGTTGAAAATGGCATATCTATAGGCTATAGATATGTTATCGTTTTTTCGAATGACGATTTTTTCGATAGCTAAGACCCCCCTGGAGTTTTGCCAATCAACGGGGGCTTTGGTCCACTAGACCCCAATGGGCCATGGAATGCATCAGCTCTGTGTGTCTTTTCAAGTTTGGGTGCTGATGGATCTTCATAATTTGGCAATTTCAACCCCAAAGTTGGACTGATGAAGATCCCAACATACCACCCTATATATATATATATGTATACCCGTATATATATGTATATATGTACATATAAATATATATATATATATATATACATATGTATATATAGCCTCGTCTCAGGTCTTGGAACCGCGCAAACCTGAATTAGGTCGGTAAAACTTGTCAATTCCGTGACGAAATTTCGTCGCGGAATTGACAAGTTTCATTACGGTCATCGTCGTCATCATCATCATCATCATCATCATACACATATGTAAGTTCAAATATATATATATAGAGAAAAATGATGAATATATATATATATATATATCTAAAGAATTCTGTAAATATATTCAAATATAAATAAATAAATAAATATATATATATATATTGTCCCAGTCCTCGTGAGCGTAGCATCAACTGCTTCTGCAAGTTCACATGAACGTTAACATCCCACCCCATCCCCCCCCACCCCGCGTGTGCGTAGCATCAACTGCTTCTGCAAGTTCACATGAACGTTAACATCCCCCCCAACCCACCAGCGTGTGCAGTTGCATCAACTGTTCTGCAAGTCACATGAACGTGAACTTCCCCCTGCCAGTTCACATGAACGTTAACATCCCACCCCCCCCCCCCCACCCCACCCGAGTGTGCGTAGCATAACTGCTCTGCAAGTTCAACATGAACGTTAAACATCCCACCCCATCCCCCCCCACCCCACCGCACGTGTGCGTAGCATCAACTGCTCTGCAAGTCACACATGAACGGTAACACCAACCCCATCCCCCCCCCCCCCACCCCGCGTGTGCGTAGCATCAACTGCTTTCTGCAAGTTCACATGAACGTTAACATCCCACCATCCCCCCCCACCCCACCCGCGTGTGCGTAGCATTCTGCTTCTGCAAGTTACATGAACGTTAACATCCCAACCCCCCCCCCCACCCCATCGTATGTGGTTCCAAGACCTGGGACGAGCCTATATATATATATATACATACATATATATATATACATACATATATATATATATACATATATATATATACATATATATATATATACACATATATATATATATACATATGATGTGGAAAACCACCATTTGCAAATCACTTTCCTCTGGAAACCCATGGATTTCCTTTTTTCGTTTTCTGTTATGATCTGGAGAGTAAAACATTAACATGGTATAGCCCAGTTTCATGTGGGTTTGTTTGAACATTGGATACTGCAAAATCCATTTGTTAATCATCCTTATCCCAAACTATATTGAATTGCTGGTTCAATGACTTTCCCAGCTATAAACCTGTATTCATTTTTATGGGATATTTTCCCATATGATTTCCCCTATTTTCCCAAGAATTTACCATATTTACCCATAGTTTCCGATATTTTTCCCGTAGGTTTCTCATATTTTCCCCATATATTCCACACGTTTTTCCTGTACTTTTCCTATATTTTCCCCATATTTCCGTATTTTCCCATATTTTTCCCATAGTTTTCCCATCTTTCCTTGGGATTTCCTAGCAACAAAGCCATGATTCACCACGGCCGAAAACTCCGCCTGCAGGGCTCGTTCCGCCAGCAGCAGCTCCCCCGCATGCAGCGGCGCCAGGGTGATCACTCCGCGACCACTGGAGGCAATACAGCGCACCTCTGTAGGTGAAAAAATCCATCGCTGGGGGAACAAAATGAGAAAAAAAAATATATCTATAGTTTTATATTGGGTTTGTTATAATGGGTAAATATCCATTATGGGTTTATTTACCCTATATCCATTATTGTGGTATCTATAATTTACCCATTATCTATATTATAATGGTGAGAATAATTATCTACATTACCACATTTTTTTGGATATAGTTAATGGATATAGTTAATGTATAGTCAATTGTAATCCATTAACTATATATATATATTGCATATATCCAGTTGTGGGTAATCAACCACTTGGGATTCCTGTATTGGATTACACATGGCCTACTAGCCTATGGGATTTAACTGTTACAAAAGTATCTGGGTGAATTATATTATTTCACCAACCTGAATTGTTGGGCCATTTGGGGATGATTTCCCTAATGTTTCCGCTACGGAGCATGATT